TATATATATATATAAAACATTTTCAAACTTGGCTGAGATTCAGATGTTTCAATGGTTGCAGTTCACACAATTCATGCCATATCAATTCTAATGCCTATTTGCACTATACAGTAATATAGGCGATACGCAGTGACAGTACATAAAGAAACCTTTGTGATGCCTTTTTCTGTATCCTGAGTAGCCCAGATTCCAATGGTGTTTCTCTTTTGAAGACTTTTTTGCACTCTAAATAGCCTAACTAACTTCATAAATTAAGTTTCTTTCTTATTTCTAAGTACAAAATTTCCTTTGTTTTTCATTCTGCGTAGCTTTTGTTGATTCATGTTTGTCAGCCAGCTGTGTGGCTTGTTTAGTGGAGAAACCCAGAGAGCAGAAATGTAACTTTTAAGTGAAGTGCATTGTGCATCCTACATTCCAAAGTGGCTCTGCTGTGAAATAGAACAGCCTTTTTTTTTCTCCACTTACAAGTGTAAATAGTTTCCATTACCATTTAACATAATAGTGCTTTCACCGGGGACTGCAAGGCACCTGTTCTGATTGCTTTATGATTTATTTTATCTGGCAGGGCTTCTAAATAAGAATACGTATGCAAGTTCCTTATTTTTAGAATTATGGTAAAGAAGAGAAGTTTTAGTTTCCTGCTGAAGCAACTGGTCTGCTCTGCACTTGCCCTGATATCTTGTGTTAGGGGACTCCTATGGAGCCCCCCTTGTATGACCTAGTAACCTGTGTGTGTCACAACAAACACACAAGCAGAGCATGTCAATCCACTGCCCTCCCTCCTTCTCCCCTCTCCTCCCTCCTTTTTTCTTCCTCCCAGTAGATGGACAATTGCCGTTGCAAAATGTGGTAAAATGGAATTATCCAAACCAATCTGCTCTCGCTTACCACCTGGCGCTGCTCTTAACGGTCAACCATCGCTCCTTCCCCTCCATGGCTCCCAGTGTAATGTCCGTATACAGGATTGCAGCCCTGCAGTAACTGTTCAAAATTTTGCTCACAAACGGTGATCAGTGACAAACATTGGTTAGTGTGGTCACCGGACTGCTGTGAAGCGATTCCCTTTGGTCAGCGCAGTCGGTGGGTTAATTGGAAAAAAATGAGAGTTTAATACTAGTTTAACTCTTCTATTTAGTTCTACAGCATTGGTAGATATGGACATCATGTTAAGACAGTGTGTGTAAAAAGTAAATATATATATATATATTTTTTTTTTTTATACAGGCTTACTCCACTTTATTTCAAAGCAGGCATGAATGCAGACTGAAACAATGAGGGTTTGTATTTGTGCAAGGTTTGAAAAATCTGATGGTCAGTGCATTCAGAGTGCGATATACTTTTGTGACCATAAAGTTGAACTGCAGTGAGTTAACTTGGAATGAGGTTCAGGTGTGTGATAAATCCATGGGACTTTGGGCAAAACATTTGCCACCAGAAATGCAGAACAACCTATAATTTAGTGCATGGCTTTTCCCTGGTCAGCAAAGTCACAAGGGCCAAAACTTTGTAGGAGTGGATAACCCAGTCCCCCTTGTATAAAAGGGTGGGCTCACAACAACTATATTATCGCTAAATCACATGAGCAAAAAATTTAAAGGAGTGGATAACACTGCCCCTGTTCTATTACTGTATAAAGGGTGGGATCACAACAGCAATAGTGTCGGGGTTTGTTCTAGATGTTGTTTTTAAAATGTTGTATTTGGTACATGTACACCATGGCAGTGCACAGCTTCCCATGCCTTTTGTTTGACCATAGTTTGCTTATTAGCTTTGCAAATGGCCAGAATTGAATAACAAGCTTGCACCCCTGATTTACTGGGGTTTGCTGTAAAGTTTGCGAACTTCAAGCAAGCGTTGCAAAACTGTTTGTGAATTGAACCCAAGCACATATGCTCATCCCTAGTGGTGGCCATTACACAATTTAAAGAAAATAAATTCTTTAAAATCTCCGGACAGTGCAGTGCACAGAACCTACAATACGCAAAGGCTTCTGGTTACAAGAACCCTGAGCACAATTATTCTTAACCCTTGCATTGGGCCTAGATATCCCCATTTAGCAAGTTGCTTCTCTTTCAAATTCAGTAACTGCAAACTGTCCTAGCAGCTAGACATTTAGACTGAGCATTAACATAGAAAATCTTCAGGGCTTTAACTCTAAGTTAAGAGACAGTCTTGCTCACCTTGTTAGTGATAAATCTGCCAGTGCAGTACAGATAGGGTTAATATACACAAAACTCCCTCCCCCCAGACAGTAAGAACTAAGAAGGATTTTTCAGTCCTGGAATTAGCAGAAACATCTAAAAAAGGTAAGCTGCAATTTTTAGTTTTATATATGTAACAATTATAAGTGTTTTGCCAATTTGGTTATAAAGGTGAAAATGCACTTTAGAGTAGTATTAAACGCTCCATCTTTTTTCAATAATGAATCAAGATCAAACAAAGCAAAGTATTTATCTTTGGCCAAACACCTACAGTAATCATATTTCCAAACAGTTGACTCCAACTTTCTCTGCTCGCCTGAACTTCTTGTCAAGTACAAGATCACAAAGGACGGAGCAGTCTCTGGTAGCTCTCAATCTACTAGCTTAAAGAAGGGCTAAGGAAGGAGGGAGGCAGAAGGATTTGGGAACAGGGAGGAGGGGAGTGGCTTGCCGTACCTGTGTGTTTGTGGAGACAAATGTCTTACTAGCACACACAAGGGTGGCTCCATAGGACCCTGCAAGGGAGAGGAGCCACCCTAAAACAGGATATCAGGGCCATTGCTCAATGGGACCAACTGATTCTGCAGAATCTATAACTTTTAAACATCAAGGAGCAGCAACCATTGTAAGTGATTTATTCAGCATTTGAAACGGCTTAATTTTTTTTTTAACTTTAATATCACTTTAAGACAAGTCTCAATAGAATAAACATCTTTCAGAACTACTAGTTTGGGTGCTCAGTTAGTGTACACTTCTATCCCGTCTCCCCAAAACATCTCTTACTCTACCCCCTCCCTTACTGAGGGTGATGTCTTTCCTATCATGCGCTTTCCAGTCTCTATTTCTGATGCAGTTAGAGTTCCTCCCAATCCTACCCCCCCCCATGGGGAAGCCCTTGCATAACATATGCTTGAACCTCTCTCCCCTTTGAAAGGACTCACGTTGTTGGAAAGCAGACCTGCTCCCTGGATGGGGTGGTGATGTGGACCAAAATCACAGCTTCACATTATTGTGGTGGTCCCCTCTGCTTCCCATGCAAGACTCCTCATGTGATCCAGTACATGGTATTTGTATACCATGTGCTTGCCAAAATGGCCGCCAAAATCTTGAAAGAGCTTGGTGCGCAATTACGACATAGACCTCTCCAAGATGGTGACCGTAGTCCAACATATTAGTCCTTTGCTTGGTTCCCCTTAGAAAAGTTCTACAACAAAGAAATCATGGACATATGGAGACATCTGGTGGCACCCAGGAGCATTGCAGCAAAATTCTCCTGGGAATTACAGTGGGGTCCAAACACCTTGTGCAAGGCTTTGCCTCCCTCTTCCTGTCTGCCAAAACCCATCTGCAAAAATACTGTATATTTTCTTGCTTTCTGATGCTTACATACACTTAGATTTTAATAATCTATATTATGAGACTAGTAGCATTGGATCTTACCCAAAAAAAACCCTCTGAGCATGACCCACCTTGCTTTTAAGGAGTCTTTTTACAGCTGTCTGACTCTGTAGCAGTTTTATTACATATACATTGATGAGTTAGACTTAACAAATCTATACTATTGTGTACTTGTCATAAATGGGCATTAATGTTTTTCAGGTTAATTTTCTCTGCTTTTTTCTGTGCTCATAAATGGAGGGACATGCACTTGTTAATTGTTGATGAAAACATGCTTGCTCTTCAATGTATACAGCTTTATTATTTTGTTGGTCATTTTTTTAACTATTTATATATTTCTACATCCATCTTGCAGTTAAGAAGATTGCTTCCAAACAGTAAAATGTACCTGGAGAACAATAATGATGTCCCACGTGTAAATACAATTGATGTGGATAGGATTCAGACCAGTGCTGCACACCACTCTGGCTTGAATGGATGTGTGGGCACAGATGCAGTGACCCTTGACCACAATGAGCTCATACTTCTGGAAAGCTTTCACAGAGCTGCAGATGCTAAGGGAAACTGGGAGAAGTCTTACCAGAATGGGCAAGAATGTTGTGTAGCCCTTGGGGAAGATTATGGCCCTACTCCTGTGCAAGGAAGGTAAGTCTTTTTGGGATATTCTTTAACCCTATTTGCCAAATGTAGTTGATGGTGTGGACAATCATTTGTGACCTGGCAGGTAAGGCTAATCTACACCATTATTTCAGAAGTCAAGAATCTGTAATTTTCATTTACCAAAGCAAAAACTTCCACATACTTTTGCATGACATACAATGCTTCAGTTATATAAGAAGATAAGTAATGTTATCAGATCCTAATACTTAATAAGTGTTCAGGTATGCACAACTGTTCAGGTTTGTATGTGGTCTCTGAGGTCTTGTTGGTGTATTGCTAATGCATACCTGGGTGAAATCTTGGTTTGGGAAGATTGATTCACTCATCTCTACATGAGTGTGTATTGGCCCCGGGTGCCATCTGGAAGTGTAGAATATACTATTGGTGCTTGTTGGGCTCAATGGGCCCATATTGGATCAATGAAAGAATAAACAAACAAGAAGCATATTGGAAAAACTGACAACACATAGTAGATTTATTTATGAGAATGTGGAACAAATCATAAAGTTAGTGACTATCGGGTTTTAACGGATTTTAGAGAATTAACCCAAAATGATTACCTTGGTATGAATACTGTTTAACAGGTATATAGAAGTTGGCTGACATAACCTTTTACCCATTTTTAAACACAGCACATATGCAAACAGCATCTCTTATTTCTCAACATTTTTCAGTCATGGCACCCTTTTAAAAGTATGCAAAATCTCGAGGCACCCCAGTCTAAAATGTAAATAACTTGTATGTAAATATGTAAAAATCCATAACAGGCCCTCATCCCAAGTAGGGGTCTGGTAAGTAATGTAGGGGAGAACCTCACGCAAAAGCAAAAAAAAAATGGGACTGCCCCTTCATATCAGCCACCCTTCAAATCAGAATCCCCCCTTTCACATTCGATCCCCCTTCACATTAGTAGCCCCCTACACATCACATGATATATATATATATATTTATTTTTTTTAAAAACACTGCATCAGCTTCTCTGGGGGTCCCTAGGTGACGGGTCTTGGAGACCCCTGATGTCTCCCTAAAGAGGACCTGTCATGTAAATTGGCTATTACATAGGGGGCTTCTTAGCCCCCCATGTAAAAGCAATAAAGCTGTGTGTAAAATTAAAGAATCATAAAAAAATCATACATTTAAAAAAAAAAAACAAAATTTTTTTAAGTCCCCGCCCCCCCAACACACGCAGATATGCGTCGGGTGCGCCTACGTGTGAAAACGACGATTGCGCCTATTGTGCCGCACATGTTATATATCGCCGCAAACGTCAGAGTGAGAGCAATAATTTTAGAGCATTAATCACTGATAATACTAAACTGATGAGCAGTAAAAGTGTTTTAATGGCCGCCTATGGGCGTATTTTGCGGACGCACGCAATTTTAAGGCTTGACATGTTTGGTGTCTATTTACCTGCCGTGACCCCGAATTTTATGTTTTACTAAAAATATGGGTAAGAATAAATGTTTTATAACATAACGTAGGGAATTTTTTTTTTTTTTTACATTTATGGTACTTTTTTCGTTCTATAGTAAAAAAAAAAACAATAACACCCCCCCCCCCCTGTGGTGATTATATACCTATATACTCTATCTGTCCCCAAAAAATGTTAACATAAATTGCAAGGCTATAGTCCGGTCATGCTGACTGGTGACATTTTTTACTGACTGGTGAGACACCATCAAATTTTTCAAGCCCTGCACATAGTGGTTACATTGCGAACAACTCTAAAAAAAAAATCAAACAAAAAATGTTTTATCTTTTTACATAAGCTTTACACAGAGGTCCCCTTATGATATTTACGATTCACGGGAGTCTTAATGGTTTCACTTTCTAACTATCATTTATAAGGAGTGTTAACCTAAAGTATAGTTGTATGATTTTACTAGGGATGCACCGATACAAGCATCGGTATCGGCGGCGATACCGAGTATTTGCATGAGTACTCGTGCAAATACTCCGATACAAAAAACGAGTACCTGTGCCGCGTCCGCCATCTTCAGGGACCCGAAAACCGCCGCACACAGGACCTCCATCGCCTCTTCAATGAAACAAGATGGCCGCGAACTCCTCCTCCAAGTCCTCAGTCATCTGCTCCATTCTGACCTCTTCTCTCGCTGATTGGATGATTGACCAGGCTTCCTCACCAGTCAGTCCAATCGGCCAATCAGAATGGAGCAGATGACTAGGCTGTGACACGGAGTGGCTGAAGCAGACGAAGAAGACGACACAGCAGGTTAGTACTGCAGCACCATATATACCAAAAAGATAAACCAGCTAACAAGAGTGGCTATTTTAAAAAGGGTTAACAGAGGATCGGGACAAGTATTCCAATTACAAAAAGAGTTTATTAGATAAAATATCAGTTTTGGACATAAACATCATATCACTAACTGGTTTAAAAAAAAACATAAAAGCATGACATACAATTATAAATCTTCAGGTATGCAGATCGGTTTGTATAATGTGCTCTCATTCATATATGCTAATCAGCTGACACCATGTGGGAAAAAAACTGATTTTTTAAGAAGGAGGTACTATGTAACTTCCATGTTTTTCCCACTGGAGATTAATACGTGTATTTCAGATACCAGCGGACACCAAACGATAATACGTTATATGAAATGTATTATCCTATGGTGTCAGCTGATTAGCATATATGAATGAGAGCACATTATACAAACAGATCTGCATACCTGAAGATTTATAATTGTATGTCATGCTTTTTTTTTTTTAAACCAGTTAGTGATATGATATTTATGTCCAAAACTGATATTTTATCTAATAAACTCTTTTTGTAATTGGAATACTTGTCCCGATCCTCTGTTAACCCTTTTTAAACCAGCCACTCTTGTTAGCTGGTTTATCTTTTTGGTATATAGGGTTCATTTTGGTTACGGATCTGGTTGACAAACATGAGATAAAGGGTCATTTAAATGGTTTGGATCTCCAGGCAGAAACAAAATTGTTTTCTATTAGTACTGCAGCACCGCATGGGGGCTGGGCTGGTGGGAACAAAAAGAATATATGCCTGTAATGTTTAACTTTATATAATATTTAAAAAAAAGACATTAAATAATGAAATTAATAAGTAGATCTTGCCATTGGTAACTAAGGCTTGTATCCCCCTAGTGGGGAAAATAGATGAGCACATGTCCAGACTCCAGAAAACACTGCATTGTATAGTGTGGCACAGCCATATCCAATTCTTCATACCTGGCTTTATATTATAAAAAAATTATAATATAAAGCCAGGTATGAAGAATTGGATATGGCTGTGCCACACTATACAATGCAGTGTTTTCTGGAGTCTGGACATGTGCTCATCTATTTCCCCCACTATGGGGATACAAGCCTTAGTTAGCAATGGCATGATAAATATTCATTTCATGTTCTTCATAATATGAAGAAACTGACCTAAAATCATTATTTTGTATTGCTTCAGAAAAAATGTGACCTGCCCCTTTAGGGAAAAGTATCGGTAATTGGTATCGGTGAGTACTTGGAAAAAGTATCGGTACTCGTACTCGGTCTTAAAAAAGTGGTATCGGTGCATCCCTAGATTTTACTTATCCTTAAGCGACTCCTAATTATTAATATAAGCTTCCCTACTTAAAAATGGAAAGCTGGACAAGTAAATGCTGATTATTTTTTCTTGTATACTCATAAAGCCTCTAAACTTATAATTGCTGAGGCTTTCTTTTTTTTTTTTTCCCTTCTAATATTTGTCCCAAAATGATATTACTACAATAGTATTTATACCATGTGTGAAGAGAGGTCAGTCACAATCATGATATTTTCTTGGAACAAGAAATAGATTAAATGCATTTTTCTACTGAGGTGAAACATGAATAATTCATCTTGAATCAGTCTGAGCCAGTGCCAAGAATGAGAGGAGTCTTCTAAGCCTTTGTGAGTAATTTGTAGATCAGTTAGACACTGAAGGATCATTGTCACTACTGCAAGCAATGCTACTTTGTGAGGTGCTAGCAGCAGTAGCACCTGCATTAATGTTTTTCAATGAATTCTGCCCCAATGCCAAGAAAATGTGCTAGGAAAACTGCTGTGATAAGAGTTTTTTTAAAGAATTAACCTCTGTCGTTTCAGCAGGATCAGCTCTGGGTTGTGTTTAATGGGCCTGCATGCTCAGATTCTGCTTTTGCTTGTCATGCTATTTCTAGTTACTTTTTCTCATATAGGTGCATAAAGCAAGGGAGCTCAGATTTTTTCTTTTAGTTAGCCATGTGTGTGACATTTACCTGTAACTCATTCAGGCTGGTACTGGAAGCATGGTTCCCCCGCCAATGTTAGATGGGCACCCAATTCTGTCATTCCCCCATCCATATGTATTTTTTTTCTTTTAATTTACATGATTTATATAATATAAATCCGCTCTAACCTCTTTTTAAAATGTTATATTCATTATGAGTGACATGGCTCGGCTGCTTGGAAATCTCCCCCCCCCCCTTCTTTAATGTAGTTATATATGTTTGTTTCACTAAAATGTATATTGTATGTTCAGTATGTAAAAGTGTTGCATAAACTGTCTGCTGCACTATATAAATGCTTGTAATAATAAATTTAGTCCTATGGCTTAAATTCAAATGTTTATATACAAAAGCGAAGTATTGCTGTCCAATTCTCCCTAGGAAATCTCCCTCACGTATGGCCTTACCAGTCATGGGGACATGAAACCAGGGGAAATCCCTCCAATTATGATTCAGACATCAATCCACTGTATTTACTCGGGAAAACAATGGGTTTAATGTACACAGCAAGAATCTGTGTAGCACTGGGAGGAAAATACCGGTGTGGTTGACGGAAGATAGGGTTTGCCGCAGACTACAAAAACTTAATGTAAATCTTGAGGACCAGATAACTTGCACCCACGGGTACTTAAAGAGCTAAGCATGATAATAGCGAGGCTATTGTTCCTAATTTTTAAGGACTCCATACTGACTGGGCAGATACCAGCTAATTGACGTAAA